TGCCGGCCTTGATGGTGTCGAAGCAGGCGGCCTCGATCCTGGCGGCGTGGTCGGGCAGGCCCATGTGCCGCAGCATCATCACGGCGCTGAGCAGCAGGGCCGTGGGGTTCGCCATGTCCTTGCCTGCGATGTCCGGGGCCGTGCCGTGAACCTGCGGGCGGTGCGGTCAGGCCCCAGGCGGCAGCGGGAAGCCGCTGCAGGAGATGGACGTGCACCCCGCCCCCACTGGGCCCCGCCTCACCGACTCAAAGATGGCCACCCCGTTGGCCCCGATGTTGCCGCTGGGCGTCACGCCGAGCCCCCCGATCAGCCCCGCACACAGGTCACTGGGGAGAGAGACCGGGCCTCAGACGGCCCCCCGTCAGCCCCGCCCAGCACCAAGGCGCGCCCAACAGCCGGTCACAGCTCCCACGCGGACCCGGGCAGGCTCGCGTCCCCCTGCGCGTCTCTGCTGCGCCACGTGGGCCTGGGCCCCCGCAGGGGAGGCAGGAAGCGGCCGGAGACCAGGCCCAGAGGCCGGGGGCTAGGTGCCGACCCCTGGGAATGCCCAGCCTGCTCCTGCAGCTGTCACCCACCTGAGAATGTCCCCGTACAGGTTCGGCATGACCAGGACGTCGAACTGGGACGGGTCCTGGACCATCTGAAGAAGCGCACTGTGCTCAGGGGGCGCCCCGGGACCGCCCGCCCCCGCCCCTAGCCCCACTCACATTCAGACACACGGTGTCGAGGTACATCTCGTTAAATTTGATATCTTTACAGTTTTCTGCCACCTCCCTGCACTTCTGCAGAAAAAGCCCATCCGACATTCGCCTGCATTTCATGCAACAAAAAGCAGAAGCCTCGTGAAGAAAAGGCCGCGCCCAGGGCCCCGCCCCCGCCCGCCCGCCCGCCCGCCCGCACATGATGTTGGCCTTGTGCACGGCGGTGACGTTGCTGCGGTGGTTGTTGCGCGCGTACTCGAAGGCGAACTCGGCGATGCGCTTGCTGGCCTCCTCCGTGATGAGCTTGATGCTCTGCACCACGCCGTCCACGATCTGCGGGCCAGTGCGGGC